CCAAGAGAACTAAGAAGCTCATAACAGGGCCTGATAATAGCCCTGTTACTTGAGCTTGACCTTTCACCTTAAACAAGTCACTCCCTTAACGTACACACAGCACTACTTTACTTCCAATATGGAAACACAAATTATTCATTGGAACGTCAGAGGCCTGCTTAAAAACCTCGACGACGTCCAAGAGCTTTTATACAAACACTCACCTGAGGTGCTGTGTGTACAGGAAACACACCTAAAATCCTCCAATACAAATTTTTTACGTGCTTACGTCATATACCGAAAGGACCGAGATGATGCTGTGGCATCATCCGGTGGCGTAGCCATTATTGTTAACCAAGGAGTAGCGTGTACACATTTACCACTCCAGACATCCCTTGAGGCGGTGGCTGTTCGAGCGGTACTTTTAAACAAACTCGTCACCATTTGCTCTTTGTATGTACCTCCCCACCACTGTCTTGAAAGACGTGAATTTCAGTCTTTAATAGACGAACTGCCTGAACCCTATTTGCTTCTTGGCGACCTAAATGCACATAGTGGACTCTGGGGCGATTCTCGCTGTGATGCACGAGGTCGTCTCATTGAACAATTTCTCTTCTCTTCCGGTGCCTGTTTGTTGAATAGGAAAGAGCCAACATACTATAACGTTGCCAACAAAACTTACTCGTCTATAGACCTCAGCATCGTATCGCCTTCACTCCGACCCCTAATGAAATGGAAAATCATAAATAATCTATATGGAAGTGACCATTTTCCTGTAGTGTTGAGTTCACAAACAACATATGAATGTCCTCTACATGTTCCCAAATGGCTGATGAATAAAGCAGACTGGGAACAGTTCCACAACACTACACGTTTGAGTTGGACAGACATATGTAGGTTAGACATAGATCAAGCTGTGAAGTACTTCACAGCTTTTCTAACTGACGCAGCAGCCAGGTGCATACCGCAAACATCTGGAATGCCCGGCAAACGACACGTCCCACGGTGGAACACGGAGTGTCGTAATGCGCGAAACGAACAGAACAGGGCATGGAGATTGCTGCGCAACTCGCCAACAGCGGAAAATCTTGGCACGTTCAAGAAAATAAAGTCTCAAGGAAGGAGAACGTGTCGGCAGGCCAGAAGAGAAAGCTGGCAGAAGTTTTTGTCGGGGATCAATTCATACACACAGGAGGCAAAAGTCTGGAACATGGTCGGTAGGATAGCAGGGATACAAGTACACACACTTCCACTCGTAAACACTCAAGGTGATACCTTGGAAGATCAGGCAAACTTCCTCGGTGCACACTTCGAACAGGTATCCAGCTCATCCCACTATACTGACACCTTCCAAAAATACAGAACAAGAATTGAAAAGCAGAAACTCGAACAAAAATCCACCAGATACGAGGCATATAACCAAGCTTTCAGTCTAGCTGAGCTCCGAACATCTCTAAACTCCTGCAGTACTTCTGCCCCAGGTTCTGACCGTGTGATGTATGAAATGTTAAAAAACCTACCAAACGAAACCCGAAAAACCTTACTATGTTTGTACAATGCTATTTGGTCTTCTGGCACTATTCCTACCTCCTGGAAAGAGGCTATTGTTATTCCCATTTTGAAAGAGGGTAAGGACCCTTCTTTACCCTCGAGTTATAGGCCTATAGCACTTACAAGCTGCTTGTGCAAAGTCTTCGAAAAAATGATAAACTGCCGACTTGTACATTTTCTTGAAACAAATAATTTGCTCGACCCATTTCAGTGCGGGTTTCGAGAAAATAGATCCACCACAGACCACCTTGTTCGTATCGAGGCACAGATCAGAGACGCGTTCGTCCATAAACAATATTTTCTCTCTGTGTTCCTCGATATCGAAAAGGTTTATGATACAACATGGCGTTTCGGAATTCTAAGAGACCTGTCCCACCTTGGTGTGCGCGGAAGAATGTTTCATATAATCGAAAGTTACCTGTCAAACCGGACATTCCGTGTCCGTCTGGGCAGTGTGCTGTCCCAAACATTTGTCCAGGAAACAGGCGTGCCACAAGGTGGTGTGCTTAGTTGCACACTTTTTATTATTAAAATGAATTCTTTGCACTTGTCCATTCCCTGCAATATGTTCTATTGTACATATGTCGACGACGTCCAGCTTGGCTTCAAGTCATGCAACTTGGCCATGTGTGAGCGGCAGGTGCAGCTGGGTTTAAATAAGGTCTCCAAATGGGCAGATGAAAACGGATTTCGACTTAACCCACAAAAAAGCACGTGTGTCTTGTTCTCTCGAAAGAGAGGCATGCACTCGGAGCCCGACATTCAACTGAACGGGCAACAACTGTCCGTCAAAGCTGAGCATAAATTCTTAGGCTTAATCTTGGACAACAAGTTGACCTTCGTACCCCACATAAAGTATTTAAAAACAAAATGTTTAAAAGCCATGAATGTTATAAAAGTGTTGTCACGTACTACGTGGGGTAGTGACAGGAAATGCCTCATGAACCTGTATAGAAGCCTTATTCGCACCCGCTTAGATTATGGGGCCATTATTTATCAGTCAGCGACTCAAAGTGCTTTGAAGATGCTGGATCCCGTGCACCATTCGGGCATCCGCCTTTCTACGGGTGCTTTTCGCACCAGCCCCGTAGAAAGCCTTTATGTTGAGTCAAATGAGTAGTCGCTTCATCTGCAGAGAACTTACATGTCCTTTGTGTATTTCCTTAAGGTAAAAGCAGACAAGAAGCACCCCTCATACTCTACTATTAATGATTTGTCGAGCTCAATTCTGTTTCAAAACAGGCCTTCGATGAGGCAGCCCTTCTCAGTTCGCCTGAAGAGTATAGCTGAGAAAACTGGAGTCTCACTTGAACACAGTTTAATGGCTCCTGTAGCATACCCGCCACCGTGGCAATGGCAGACTATAGACTGCGATGTGTCTTTTCTAGAAGTTACAAAACATGCGCCTATTGCCCATATTCAAACACACTTCCTGGAACTTCAACACAAATACACACGTCCTGAGTTCTTTACAGATGTCTCCAAGTCTAACTCCTCTGTGTCCTACGCTGCTGTCGGCCCACCCTTTTCGGATGCTGGCCCTCTACATCCAGACACAAGTATCTTCACAGCGGAAGCTTATGCGATACTTGTGGCGGCTAAACACATCAAGCAATTACAAATACAAAAAGCAGTAATTTATACGGACTCCCTCAGTGTGGTAACGGCTCTGCACACTCTTAAAAAACACAAAAACCCAGTCCTTGTCTCACTTTACTCCATATTTTGCACACTCTACACACTCAACCAACAAGTTGTGGTGTGCTGGGTGCCAGGGCACCGTGAGATCCAAGGCAACGTGAGGGCGGATGAGCTCGCTGCATCCGTCCACAAAAACACTGCCCCTACACCCATATCAATCCCGGTCCTTGATCTGAAGCCGTCTCTCAAACGAAACCTCAGGGACTACTGGCAGAGCAAGTGGGATACACACACACAAAACAAACTACACGTTATCAAGCCACACCTTGGCCATTGGCCACCAGTATCAAAATCACGTCACACAGAGGTAACATTAACGAGGCTCAGGATAGGACACATATACACGACACACACGCATCTTTTGTCCGGTGGTGATCCACCATTGTGTGACAGATGTGGAGAGGCATTGACAGTCCTTCACATATTAATCCAGTGCAAACACTTAGAAACTCTAAGAAAACGACATTTTTCATTACCCTACCGACAGCATATACCTTTACACCCTGCAATGTTCGTCGGTAGGGAACCGCTTTTTAGTCATAAATCATTGTTAGCGTTTTTAAAAGAAATTAATAATTTTCATATCATACACCCGGGCATTCCGTAGCACGACCTCTCTAGAGAGGTTTTCGCTGCGGCGGTTACACAAGAAAGCACTTGCCTCACGGCCCTTGGACGCAAGGGTATGAACGAGTGAGGCACATGTGCTAATGCCATTCATATCCACCATCGTTTTTTATAATCACCAACTCTTGTCATCTATCCTCACCACACACACCTTTCACGGCATGGTCATGATTTTATTACTTGTATGTTTTTACCCGCCTTACCGCGAGGAATTTTATGGCCTTTATACAGCCGCTTATCACAATCATTGTCCATATTCTTAGTAACATGAACTGGCGCCCTTTGGCCGTGAAACGGCCCTTGCGCCACAAAACTTCAAACATCATCATTTTATTACTTGTATGTTTTTACCCGCCTTGTTGCGAGGAATTTTATGGCCCTTATACAGCCGCTAATCACAATCATTGTCCACATTCTTTGTTCCATGAACTGGCGCTCTTTGGCCATCAAATGGCCCTTGCGCCAAAAAACACCATATATCATCATCATCAAGAGCTTCACATATTTTCTCGTGTGTATTTTCCGAGGCAGTTTGAGGCAATGGAGGCAACATAAATTTGACTGTGCGATGGTTCACACTCAATCATGCCTGCAAGCTATGCCAACGCTCGCAAACACGACAGCGCTGGTGCACTCCCTGGCTACCTCTGACAAAAAAATAGCTGCCTACCCAGAGTCCATAGCGTCGCCGTCGTTCATGCAAGCTCCCTATAGCTTTCTGTTTCTAGGAGTCTTCTGTCATTGAATACTGAAGTCCAGAAGCTTTTTTTAGTTAAGCTTCATTTGTGAAATTAAAAGTGATCAAGCTTAGCTTATCTAGTATACAGAAAATCATATTGGCATGATGTGGTTTGTGGCTTAAAATATTGTTATGAGCCTGTGTGTATATTGCATTATTTATATTACATGACTAAATGCAGGCTTAGTGCTTACTTAAACTTTACGACATAATTTTTCAGGATGCCAGAGGTACATGAATGTTATAGCAGAGGAGCCGCGAACAGCAAAGGGCGTGCTTCGAGATATGAAGTTTGCCATTGACGTTGGAGAGCCAGTGAATGGTTTGAAGGGGCCCTCACCACTCTCGAGTCTGAAGGGTTTTGACCTTGTGCTTGGTCAAACAGTCGAATACATGCACTGTTTTCTTCTGGGCGTCAATAGGTGTTTCACTGATACTTGGTTTGACTCAAGTAACAATCAAGAGCCTTATTACGTAGGTTAGTATTGCCTCGTAGATTGCAAGGTGGTTTGAGTGTAGCCTTGTGCCTTGGACTAAGCACAATGCATAGCTCATCACTAATAAATTCCCCCAACTAATCTGAATATTTCCTGGAATTTTCTGAAGAAGCATGTTTACCTGTTGCTAAATTAGCAATAAAAATGAACAGAGGATGTACGATAAATATCTTGTTTACTGGTTTGAAGTATGAATACAGATTCTTGATTATAATTGTTTAAAAAAATGGCTGTTATAAATATGAACATGCTTTACAAGAAAGATTGCATGGTTAAATCGTTGTAGGCTAACAGTTCACATGATTGCAGCAGTATTTAGAAAAAATCTGTTTTTTTATGTACTTAACAAAAAAGTAAAAGCATTTTCAGTTGATGTAGTTTTATCTGAATGAGATATTGGTTGGTTACCTAATAAAGCCTATGCATGGGTACGAGTTACACACTTTGCCGTCTAATAGCAACTAAAGTGCACGCTTGTTTTCTTTTTAAAGGGACACTAAAAAGGAACAGTGACATTGCTTGAATTGACAAAGTGTATTCTGAGAATGTTAATGGCATATGTTTGACCACAATGAGTTCATTATTAGTGGAGAAAATCAAGATTGAAGTATTTTTAAATTGTATGCCCAACTCTCCAAGCGTCACATAAGAAATGTCAAAATGTACTTTAGGTATTTTCGTGGCATTGGCTCAATGAAGTTTTCTCATACTTCATATGCTATGTCTGTGGCACCCACAGATAAAAAATGTACTTCATTTTTATCTCTTGGAAGCTACTTAAGGCCCAGTAGATGCGTACGAAATTTCCTATTTTATGAAGTTAAGTGTGGGAACCTTAAGGTTGCATCGCCACCACAATTTTCTTTCTCCAATTTCTCACTAAGCGTCTTGTCGTGGTAAAAGTGGCATTTTTGGGATTGTAAAATTGTATTTTACTGGTGCACAAAAAATCGTTTGGCTCTTTAGTGTTCTAAAAATATTTGAAAACTTCATCTTCGTTGACATATAGTCATAAATAAAGCATATATTTGTGAAAAGCAACTTCAAAGGCCAACAGAATTGCTGCTGTGGTATGTTAATGTGTGTCCTCCCTTGAGATTTTTCTCCATTTATTCCCTTGCCACAGGCATGTACATATGAATTCCGTTAATTATTTAATGTGAGGGGCACTGATGCTGTCACTTGAAATGGGGTGTGAAGTAATAAAGTGAAAAAGTGACATCAACTGGACAAACTCTCTCACAGCATGTCTCTGGTGCCTGCAATTATTTGCCGCTCATCCTTCTGTAGAAGACAGTGTCCCCCTTTGTCCCTTTGCTTACAAAATTATCTGCCTCATATATAAAAATTTATAATAAAGTATATAATGTCATACTGTATGCAGGGCGCCCAGCAACTGTGGCTCAAGTGGACAAGAAGTTGCTCTCCATCAGGCCTCCTCAGTGCTTCACCAGACTTCCACGCTCAATCAAAGAGCACTGCCATTGAAAGGCAAGTGAATGGCGGCACTGGCTCCCGTTCTACGATGTGCCACCCTGTACAAGAATCCTGCCCCAGCTCTACCTGAACCACTTTGTGCGCCTCGTTGAAGCTGTGTACATACTTCTTTCAGAAGAGCTAACTGCACCACAACTTCAATGTGTTGGTGAGTTGCTCAGATTGCTGAACTAGAGAGATTGTAGGGTTGTCAGTTTTCATGTAGAGATCTTCAACTCCTCAAACAGCCAACCGTCACTGGCAACCACAGCGCACACGATGGGTCGAGCTCCACCGAGTGCACCCTGCAGAGCACATCATCGGGCAACAAATATGGAGCACAAGAAATGTTTTAGGTGTGCTTCGTAACATGTCGCCAAACTACAAACCGTTCTTACTTTACTCTCCTGTGCATCGACAATGTGCAAAGGCATGTCGAAAAATAGAAAGTATTTGACAAGCAATCACCAATAATCATAAACTTGGGCAATGCAGTTGTGTCTTCAGGGGTGGAGTTACAGCTGCTGACGCGTGAGTTCTGGGAATATAATTGAGAGCGCGAGCCCGAAACTCACAGTAGCGACAAGCTTAAGTGATTTCTTTCACGAAATGCCTTACAATTTTTACACGACATTGCAGTTTACAAATCACCTATCGCAGAATTTGTGCAATACTAGTCAGCTAGGGCAATATATAGTGTGCAGCTCACATTCACACAAAGCATGTTGTAACACAGGCAGATAATGCATGCTGTCTACAAGAGGTTCAGTGATATAGACTAGGCATCTGATTGATATGTGGGGTTTAACATCCCAAAACCACCATATTATTATGAGAGACGCCATGGGGGAGGGCTTCAAAAATTTTGACCACCCGAAGTTCTTTAATGGGCACCTAATTCTGAGCACCCGGGCCTGCATCATTTTCATCTCCATAAAAAATGCAGCCGCCGCATCCGCCATTCGACCTCACGACCTGAGTGTCAGCAGTATGCGGGGTGCTTCATGTCTGCTTTCATATTAAGGAAATATGCAAAGGACATGTAACTTCTCTGCATATGAAGCGACCACTCATTTGACTCAACGTAAAGGCTTTCTACGTGGGCTGGTGTGAAAAGCCAACACCACCTAGAAAACTCAAGGCCCCCACACGGCGCCGTGACGTCACGCAAGTAGGATCGTTCTGGAAGTTGGCTTCACCTCACCCGTTCGCTCCGCAAAGCGGCAGGTTGCGACAAAAGTAAAATTCGCTCGCGTTACGCACAGAAGCTAACTAGAATGCCGCGTCCACAATTACGCACGCAGCTTGAGCGGGAAAAATCGCTACAGATGGTAGCCTCGCTTCTTAAGGAGGCATTCTGCTAATTTGATTATACATGAGTTTTCTAAATGATTGGAAGAGACTTACCTAAATTTCAATCGTCAATGCAGATATCAGGTAATAACTTTCAACCCTGCTGTGGTTCCAATAATACATTTAATACATCCGGATGTTACTTCCTAGAGTTTCAAAAGCTCTAACAGGTATGCTGGAAAAATGGCAAAATTTGACGTTACATGAAAACAAAGTGTCAGCAGCTGAAAGTGGAAGAAACATGTTCGTGTTCAAAGAGAAAATGACTCATTTCTGCTCAGTAGTAATATTTGTTTATTATATGCAGCATAACAGTCAGCATAAAAGTGCATGTGTGGCTCAGCGTCTGGAAGTTGCTGTAGTAACTTTTCTGGAAATGCACTTTATGCTTTGGCACGAATTGCTGCTTCAAGCATGCGGAACACATATGTGCACAATTTCCGTACAGAACAGAAAGAACAAGATTGACAAGATTGGCAGCCTTCTCACAAATGGTAGGATGCAGATCATTTCACTTGACAACGATAAATAAAAAAGCAGTTCATTTACAAAGAATACTGTTGAAACAAAAGTGCATAAGGACACTTCAATTTTTAACAGTTTCAAGTTTTCGCTTTGCCTTTGTTGCAGGCAACTTGTCATTTGATGTTTTTGCCTTTGTGGCAGACATCTTGTCGTTAGCCGTTTTGCACAAGTTGTTTAGGAGGGTGTTTGCTGCTGCACTTAAAATGTAATGCATGACCTGTTGAGGAGCATGCCCATCAACACAAACATCCAGGTCATCATTATCACTGAGGATGTCATACACAAGGGCCACTAACACTTCTTTCTGTTTAGGAAGAGCAAAGAACTGAGTTGCAAAGCGTGGACTCCTAAGCTTATCGAGCACTATTTCCATGGTAAGCACAGCATTTATAACAAGTTCACGTGGGAACTTCAGCCCACCCCTTGTCATGCTCATAATGAGGACATTTTTAGCAGTGTCTATCTCTGCAACATCCATTACTAGGTTTTCTTTGCATGATTGGCACAACAGTTTCTTTAGAGCTGCGTGAGCACAGTAACCTGCAACATATGTCACAGCGGGCAGCCTTGTCACTTTGTTCTCAATATCACTGTCATTAACTGTGATGTCAAACTGGCTTAGCAGTGAGCTGGCACTAATGACAGGAATATCGCACACCATGTCAACGTCTGGCAGCTCGAGCACTTTCTGTAACCGCAGCTTTGTCTCAGACTCATATATCTGTCTAATTGACACATGATAGTTGGCCCCAGACAACTGACGGTAACGACCAAAGCGATCCTCGAGACAATCTGTTTGAAACTTGCCTAGCAAAACATATTGCATACCAAGCTCTTTGAGGCAGTAAATAGTAATCTCGTGGAGCGCGTGAGTTGTATGACAGAAAGCTGAGTGCGTTTCCCTCGTCAAATGTCCTGCATCGTGCTTCAAACTTTCCCAGTAGTCTAGCCACTGCATTGTTTTCTCCAAATGCTGTAACTGGAGGCAAGATGTTGAGGTTATAGGCTTTTGCAGGTCATCTGAAAGCCTCTGGCCCTTTCGTGGTGTCTTTACATTAACAATATTCCACCATGTTAGCAGCGTGTTTATGTACAAAGCTGTACTGTCAGCGTGCTGAAGGTTGCTATTGTGAAGTGCTGCCACAGTTGATGAATTAAAGATTCTCAATGCCAACTTTACATCTTGTCTCTCCATGTTAGAAGGATTTAATGCCTTTAATGACAATGTCGGAGCCATCTTCAAGAGCTCACTTTGTTCAGACTCATGCAGCTCACATAAAGTCTTGAACGATGCGGTTAAAATCTTGGGTTTGGCTTCTGTACTCTTTGGATCTGGGAAATACATGCACCTTCCTGCATTGCGCTGATTTAACCAGTTATTTCTGATACATTTCAATAAGTGGACAGGGTCCACGACAAAAAACAAAGGTCGCGATTGGTCAGCTGGATGTTTATAAACTATCTGTAGTCTTGGAGGGCTTGAAAACAACGACATTGTTTTCCTGTTGATAGAATTGTTGTCAGAGATGATAGCAATCACTTTAAACCCATTATGCTCGAGCTTTAAAACTAGCATTCGCAAAAAATCATGCAAGCATTTTGCATCAATTGTAGCGACTGGCAAAATATGCACAACATCTTTGTGATTAGAAAGCAGACTCTGGGTCATAAAGACATATGCTGTTTTAGCCGGGCTTGCAGTGTTGGCTGCTGCACCTGTTATTGACCCAGCTTTGAAATCAAAGTATGACTGAATGTGAATTTCATCCATCATTAAAGTTACTATCTTTTCATGTTCTTTCATTGTAGTAGCAACCTTTTTAGCATATGACAAAAAATAAGAGTCTTGCTGCTCCATGGCTGGGCTTATTTGTTGAGTGGTGCAGAGACGTCTTATTGTTTCAGGATGAGGCAACTTTACCTTCAGTGAACCTATAAGGAATCTGTATGCATGCGGCGAAATGGTGTAGAGGAGACTTGCAAATACTAACAGGTCTGGCGGGTAGCGCGCTGCATTATTAAGGATGAGCTGCACTTGGGATTTTATAAACTTCACAATTTCCAGGGGCCATCCATGAAGCTTATGTTGCTGATCATTGCATATGAGCTCCTCCAACAGTGCCATCACAGTCGCAAGTAGTTGACGAGCCCACTGAAAATTGTTGGAAGAATGAGGAGTGCGCAGACACTCAACATGATGAAGGATGTCACTTAGTTGCCGCAAGTCCTGTAACTGAGCAGGCACACTTACACCATCAAGCACCACTACGCGCGTTTCACCAAAGTACACTTCCACACACATGCTGTCTTGAACTATCACCGATGAACGCACAGAGGCACCCCGATCAACAGTCAAATCCAGGAATAGAACCTTTGAGTCCATGCTGACCACAGACCAAAACGGTGAGGTGTTAAAGCTTGGCAGAGCACGAAGAAATTCTGAAAAGCTTGTAACTTTGTTCTGCTTGTCTTGTTGTTGCTTTTCTTCCAGAGATTTTTCAATGGCAATGCGGAGTGATTCGTCCTCAAAACGTTTTCGTTTCTCCTCTGGTGCCTCCCGAGTACACGCATTTTGACGAGAGAGGTATTGAGGACAATTCGGGAACACACTTGGTACCGCATCAGGCTTCAGCCGGAAGACTTTCAGTGGCACTTCAATAGTCTTCCCCGTCTTCACATCAGTGTACTTTGACGTTTTCACGTAGTCGCTGGACACGAAATGCTTCTCGCAGAGCTGAAAAGACAAAAAAAAAAAAGGATTATGTGGGACCACGTTTTATACACTGTCGAAAGCGAGACGGTTCTTTTCGACTTTTGATGAAACCAAAATATGAGCACGTTTCAGGCTCCGACCATTCAGCCAGGCCGATTAGGCTGGTGATCGATACGCTCAGCCGCTAAAACGCGCATTGCGTAAAAGTTTTTTTAGCTTCTCCATGGTGGATGGATGCTATGAGCGTCCCCTGTGTAACGGGGCGGTGACATGTGCGCCACCAGGCTCATAAAAAAAATTAAGAACTTTTCATTTTTTTCCCTCTCTTTAAGTTGTCCTCATGCCTTTTAAATCTACTTCAATTAAATCGATTATGGCAGAAACGTAAATTCACAGCCCAGTCTGCCCCTTATGGGAGAAAGTCGTTATTTTTCCCTATAATTATTATTACGGTATACCTTGGACATCTTGCGACGCTTCGTGCAACCACAATTATAGACACGTTTGTTTGTTTTCGCGTGGTTTCCTTCAGGAAAAAGATATAAAGGTCAGCTCAATCGATAATAGGCGGCCGCCGC